TCATCCTTTGAATGTAAACAAAAGCTCGACAACCAAACAATCTCAAGTGCTCATAAGACACATCTTTGCCGGTCCAAACTATTTCTGGAACATCACCATTCAAAGGATAGGAATGAGACAAATTGATCACGTCAACCGCTGTCTTCATTGCCTCACCCCAAAAGGATCTTGGTAATTTAGCTTGTGAAAGCAAACACCTTGTTTTTTCCACAATGGTGCGGTTCATCCTCTCGACAACGCCATTTTGTTGAGGAGTCTTTTTAACTGTCTTTTGGTGCCGAATACCTTGGCTGCGACAATACTCATCAAATGGCCCAATGTATTCACCACCATTGTCTGATCGGATGCACTTCAATTTCTGCCCTGTTTCTCTTTCAACCATGGCCTGAAAATGCTTAAATACTTCTAGAACTTGATCTTTAGTTTTTAGTAGAAAAGCCCAAACTTTCCTTGAATAATCATCAATAAAAGTAACAAAATAAAATGCACCACCATGTGTTCTAACTTTTAAAGGACCACAAACATCCAAATGAATCAACTCCAAAACATTTTCTTTTCTAGAAACAACATTTTTATGAAAAGAAACTCTATGTTGTTTACCGTAGAAGTATCATCTTTAAGTGCATTGACAACACCTTTACAAATTTTTCCTTGCATCGAATAAAGTGTATGAGTCTTCTTACACTTAGCCACCACCAAGGAACCTTTTGTGAGCTTCCATATTCCATCACCAAATTTGTTGTTGTAGCCTTCATCATCTAGCTTCCCGGTAGAGATCAAATTGAGGCGAATGTCGGGAACATGCCTCACATCTTTAAGCAACAACTTGCAGCCCAAATTTGTTTCCAAGCAAACATCACCCATGCCAATAATCTTGGACAAACCTTCATTACCCATTCGAACAAAACCATAATCTCTTTCGGTGTAGGTAGTGAAGAAATCAACTTGAGAAGTCACATGAAAAGAAGCACCAGAATCAATCACCCAATTGCTCTCTTGGCCCACAAAATTGATACACTCATTTTCACAAACGACCATGAGATCATCGGTAGTAACTGTTGTTGTGTCTTCTTGCTTCTTATCCACACTTTTGTCATGCCTTTTTTCCTTGTTCTTGAGCTTTCGGCATTCCCGCTTCATGTGCCCTTTCTCATGGCAATAATAACACTCAATGTCTTTCTTTGAAAAAGAACCATCTTTTGATTTGTCAGGGCTTTGATCACGACCATGAGGAGTCTTACTCCTCCCCCTTGTTTTGTTTCGACCTCTCACAATAAATGCTTCCAAATGAGAGAAACCCGCTGATTTTCTTCTAGTTTCTTCATTCAACAAGCTACTAGTGACTTGGCCCATTGTGACAACTCCATCAGGTGCCGAATTACTAACCGTCAGAACCAAAGTCTCCCAACTTTCGGGCAAAGAACTAAGTAGCATCAAAACCTGCAACTCATCATCAAAAATAATTTTCATAGAAGCAAGTTGGTTAACAATACTCTTTATTTCATTCAGATGTTCTGGAATAGGGCTGCCCTCTTTATATTTTAAATTAACCAACTTACGAAACAGAAAGACTTTATTTGTGACTGATTTTCTATCATAAAGACTCTCTAATTTTTTCCATAATCATGTGCCGAAGTTTCAGTAGCAACATGATGAAACACACTTCATCAATCTATTGACGGATAACACCAACGGCTTTTCGATTAAGCCTATTTCATTCATCATCTTTCATATTATCAAGTTTGCCACTATCACCCTCAATTGGTCCATACAAATCTTTACAAAATAATAGGTCCTCCATTTTAGTTTTCCAAGTTACCCAATTGCTTCTATTGAAACTAGACATACGATGCACATTCCCCCCATTGATTTACACAAATAAATAAACCCAAATAAACGTTGATACCAGTTGTTAGGGAAAATATATAATTCCCTACAAGTAAATCAATCAATGGGAATAAAAACTAATGCGGAAAATTAAATCAAAAACAATACAAGAATTTTACGTGGTTCCCTCAATGTAAGATACGTCAACGGGATCGAAATCTGATTCCACTATCAACCAAATAAGTTTCCAAACGATTACAAACGAGACACAAATGGTCTCACAAAACCACCCTTAGGTGAATTATAAATAATCACAAATAAACAAGAGAAAAGACCTCACCAAATAAATAAACAAAAATCTTCAAAACTAGAGTTAAAGAAGACCAAAAATAACGAACCAAATTATCTTCAAAACAGAGCAGCCGAACAAGCACACTGACAGTGCTTCCAAGAACCAAAAATCAAAGCACCCTTTGACCCAAATGTGAGATTTTTTCCAAGCACAATCTCACCCAAAAAAAACCAACTAGCTGCTGCCGTTTTTCTTCACACCCTCGGGACAAACACATAAACAATATATATATATATATATATATACATATATATTGTGAATCTAGGATTTCTTATCAAAACCTTAATTGTTTCCAAACTGAATTGGGTCACTATAAAATTAGATATAATATATAAAAATATATTATAACTAATACTAAATCAAATTAAACTCTTTTAATAAACCAATTGGGTCCCACACTCCAATACGGAGGCATACCCAACAATTTTGCTACCCCACCACCACCCTCACCCTCCTTAACCAGGATTTGGGGTGCCTGTTGTGCCCCAGCATAGTGGCCACTGATGTGCTGTCCTATGGACTTATTTTGAGATCTGTTTTAATAATTCGAATAGTTCACATTTTAGCGTACATCGAGTAAAACGAATTTATAAAAAATTAAGTTAATCGGATATCGTTAACCCTTTCATCCACTCACATTTGTATCTTTAAAAATAAATGACATTGTGATTTAAAGTATTAAAATAAATATAAATGTGAGTGAATGAAAGGTTTAACAATATCCGATTAACTTAATTTTTTACAGGTATGTTCTACTCGATGCATTCTAAAATGTGAACGGTTCAGATTATCAAAACGGATCCTGAAATAAGTCCATAAGGCCACACAACAGGCACCCCAACTCCCCTTAATTATTAACATCACATTCACCACAACCAACACTATAAAAATACAATCACTAAATATAAAAATTTTTAAAAAATTACGAAAAATATTTCTCAAAAAAAAAAAATCGTTGAAACTGAAAGTGCGTTATACAAGCATAAAGATAATATGAACCCTTTCTTAAAAAAATTGTAGATCTATAAGAAAAGTCTAATTAAGTTATTTTAATTTTAATGAACAAAAAATATTATTGACCATGGTCGATGACTCTTGTATGAAAAGTCATGAATTTCGAAAGATTTTTTTTTGTTCATTTCTATTTAAGCCAACTCAAGTGAAATGAAAAATAACATACATTCTCAGGACAAAGCTTCTAACATTCTCATTAAAAAAAATAAAGAATTCTTAATAATGAAATTTTAAAAAAATAAAAAGGACATTATTATCGGCATAGAGACTAGGAATCAATCACATTCTTTTGGATAGTGGACCTGGTAGCTGTTGTTGCGGACGTGTTGCGTTTGTCTATACTCCATTTCTTTGACATATTGTTATTTATTTATTTATTTTATGTTTCATTTCATCAAGTTAGTCACAGCAACACTGAACACACCCCTAAAAGTTCATTCCTCAAAACCCAACTTCATGACTCAACTAACAACCCTACAAAAGTGGTTGGCTCTCTCTCATTCATTTTCCCATCTGTCTCCCTTTTGAACATGACAAGGTCAAATATTAATGTTGGGATTCAAAAAAAATATTTTCAACAAGTATTATTTGATTGAGATTTATTTTATATAAGTTTCATTATATATAAGAATTGAATTTGAAGCATATATCTAAAAAGTTTCTAAATAAGTTTATTAGTTTTTTTTACAAAAAAAGAAAAAGAAAAATAAAGATTCAACCCTTTTTTAAAGGGACAAATCTAAACTACAATTGAGACTCAAGAGTCAAGTCCTGAGACTGGTAGTGCACCCCAGCTCACTTCTACATATAATATATATGAAGAGAGAGAGAGAGAGAGAGAGAGAGAGAAATCATTCCTTTTCACTCTGTCAAAGGCGCAAATCAAGGCTAACCCAACTCATTTTTTGAAAACCTCTTGGCTACTTGTGCTTGTGATTATGATGATATATTAGTATTAATTAACCCGTATTATTCCATGATTCATGTTGTATTTGATTGGAGGATTTGGAGAAAAATTTAAAGATAAAAAGAAAAAAAAAATATGTAAAATTAAGTGAAATATAAATATATTTTATTCATATTTTATCTATTTATTCTTTCTCTTTTCAAATCTCTTTTCAAATTTCTTAATCAAACACGACCTCAAAGTTTCAAGAGTAGTACCCCACCACAGCTAAATTCCTCTACAAAGTGGCATGTCATTTTATGTTCTCTTATCTTAAAATATTAAAGTTCTTATTTTTTTTAATGATAAGATTATGAAATTAGACTATGTATGATGACCAATCATGAATCAAATGAGGTGTGTTTAGAAATTAATAATCACATATGAGAAATGATTGAGTCTCTTTGGAGAGTGAGATATAAAATGAAAAAAAATTAAGAAAAATCTAAATTAAGATATTAAAATACAAAAATACATTAGAACTATGATCATTACAACATATGTAATGCATATGTAGTAAAAATAACGTGAAAATAATACACATTAATGTAATGCATATTTAGTTATTCCAAATAAATACGATAGACATTTTTTCCTAATTAAATGACATTTCAAACATTAGATAAACTTCGTAATTTTAAAGGATTGATAATCTCAAAACTATTAATTTTAATTTAGAATTAATAATCTCATATAATCTAGTTCAATAAAATAAAGATAATTTTATAATCAATAAATTATAACTCGAGATTCTAACATTATTTAACATTATAATTATGTTGAGACAAAAAGATTTAAAGCAAAAAAATGGACCCTAAAAAGTAACTTAAAACCTCTACCATACTAGACACCCATCAACCCTAAAAAACCATTAGCAAAAGCCTCTAACTAGAGTTCAGCAAAAGCCTCTCTCTCTCTCTCTCTCTCTCTCTCTCTCTCTCACCTTCAAAATCCTCCATGCTAAATGGTGTGGGAGTGAGCACAAGAAAGCAACAACACCATGATCCCTGCATGTTTCAGTAATCCCAGGCCCAGCAGCAGTCTCTCAAGTGCCACACAAATGCCTCATCAAAACCTCATAACTTGCATTTACCAAACTCACCTCTGCAACTCACCAACCTATCTCACCCTAACATGGTCCAAGTCTCCCTTCTCTCACTCCTTAACCATCTATGCCTCAGACTCCTTCTCCATCACCATCTCTCTCTACCCATCAACCTTCTCATTCTTCCGGAACCGACCCGGCTCCAAATCCATCTATTTGGCCCACCACCATTACCAAAGAATCAAGCTCTATTGGGATTTCACCCAAGCCGAGTTCAGCCAAAACGTAGCCTCAGCCGAGCCCGAATCATCATTCTACATTGCCATTATCTGTAATGACAACGTAGAATTCTTCCTGGGTGACCTCCAAGAAGAGATGACTCGGCGTTCTGGGGTAGCCAGAACACGATGCTCTGCTGCGCCAACTCTGCTGGCTCGGCGAGAGCATGTGTTTGGACGTAGGAGTTATATAACCCAGGCAGAGTTCATGGGGTCCAAACATGAAATAGGGATAGAGTGTGGTGGGGGAGTGCTCAAAGTGAAAGTTGATGGGGTGATAAGCCTAGTGGTGAAGAGGCTTGCTTGGAAATTTAGAGGGAATGAAAGAATTGTAGTTGATGGTGTGGAGATAGAATTTTATTGGGATGTGTTCAATTGGGTCAATAGTGGTGGCACAAATAAATGTGGTGGTAGTGGCAACGGCGGCAATAATGGTGGTGGGCATGGTGTGTTTGTGTTTCAAATTGGTGATGGTGGGGTTTGGCCAGAAATGATGGGCCCAGAGAGGAAGTTGATGAGGAAGAGTTTGTCAGCGGCGGCAGCAGGGCCGGCGGCATCAATGCCGCCAGCTTCCCTATCGCCGTCACCATCATGTTCGAGTGTGCTCCAATGGGCAGAAGAGAGCAGTGATTGTGGTAGGAGTTCATGTTCTTCATACACAAGGTCTTGTGGGAGTGGTGGTGGATTTTCTTTGTTATTGTATGCTTGGAGGAAAGAATGAAATTTGAATTTTGTATTTTGCATTCAATCTATTCAAAAGCATTTTAATTTGTGATTATTAATAAAACTATGTTTAGAAATGCTTGAATTTGTTAAGGGTCCTGTTTTCAACATGTTTGAGAGTAATATTTATCTTTCTTTTGATGTTCAAATTGTTCCAAAATTGTTGTTTTTCCATTTGTGTGTGTGGTAGGGATGCAACTCGGACGGACTCAACCCGAGCAATCCGTGCCCAGTTCGAGTTTTTTTGGGGCTTGGATAACAATATCCTGTAATCTGGACCGGCCTGGGTAGATTTTTGATGCCATAATTGTAATTCGGACCGGACCTGGACAGAGTCAGTGGCTAACTCAAGTAATCCGAACCTGAATTGCATTTAATATATTTTATAAACTATATAATATATGTATAAAATAAATTAAATAGCTGGCCTTTAATTTTATTTGATTTTTGACTGGTCTTTGGCCCTTGGATTAGCATTTTTTATTTGGACCATTAGATTAAAACTAAAAACAAAACTCTACCTTATATATTCTTTCTTCCCTCTCTCTAAGACTTTTGTGGCGGGATGATGTTTAAGTTTGTTATATGAACTAATGGACTATGTATATAATGAAGCACTGTTTGTTATATGGAAAAATTCAGAAACTGTTTGTTGCCTTGTGAAATTCGGACAATTCGGACTAACCCGAGTTCGAATTATGAAGCTTGGTCCAAACTTGGACAGCCATGCTCAGATTGATGGTCAGGCTTGAGCTACCTTAGGCATTGTCAAACACAATTCGAGCTGGGCTTGCACAAACCTCTAACCAGATTGAACACGCCCGAATTGCACCCCTATCGTCAGGGTGCAAAATTTTAAAATGTATCTAAATCCCACCATATAAGTCTTGCCCAACGTATCCTTGAGTAGTTGGGTTAGGTGAAAAAAGAACATCAATGTAATAGTAGCAACCAAAGCATAAATAAATAAAATTACATCAATACTTTTCAAATTATATGCTATGTTACACTTTAATTCTTAATATTTTAATTATCTCACTTTCATTCTTAAAATATGCAGCCTATTACCCAATAGTCTCTAGCATGATCACCGTTTAAAATCAATAATGGGACGAGTGAAATTTTAATAAACTTATATTAAAAAAATGTAATAAAATGAAAAGACTAAGAATGAAAAATGCAAAAAGTGCATACTTTTAAAGATTAAAATAAAGTAAAACTTATATTTTAAGAAATAAATGGTACAAAAATACGAACCTTGAGACCATAAGCTCATTTTGATTTTTGAGGCTTTTTGTAAAATTTCAAAAATACCTCTCATCCTGTAAATGATTTCAAACGGCAACATTGAAATTAAAATGTAACATATATAAAAAAAAATTTAAAAAAAATAAAACAATTAAAATATAAGAAAATTAAATTAATCCTGTTTAGAGTAAGATAATTTTACAAATTATCATGACAAGATGACCAAGAGCGCACGCACAGCAACCTTGGATTCTCAAAAGGAGACTTATATAGTTTGAATAATAATAATTTGGTACCCTTTTTCATATATAATAATAAAATAAGCTCATTTTGATTTTTGAAGCTTTTTGTAAAATTTCAAAAATACCTCTCATCCTGTAAATGATTTCAAACGGCAACATTGAAATTAAAATGTAAAATATATAAAAAAAAATTTAAAAAAAATAAAACAATTAAAATATAAGAAAATTAAATTAATCCTGTTTAGAGTAAGATAATTTTACAAATTATCATGACAAGATGACCAAGAGCGCACGCACAGCAACCTTGGATTCTCAAAAGGAGACTTATATAGTTTGAATAATAATAATTTGGTACCCTTTTTCATATATAATAATAAAGTATTCTGCAAAAGAACATGAACAGCTCTCATTGCTGCTTCACTTTCTATCTGTATATACATTCATCATGTCCATTCGTGTATGTACATATATTCACTCAAAACATGTAATGCTTGATGATAGTGTTCCCCCATCATCATCATCATTACCAAAAGAATGCTTGAGCCCTTTAATTAAAAATACTCTAAAACTATGACACTTTATTTTTGGGTGTTATTTGGATCCGTGAAGTTCATAAAGGGTTTTATTTTAATGATGAATCATTTATTTTGTAGAGTCTTGCGTGTATATTATTTATGGAAAAAAAATTAAGTCAATCTGATTATTGTAGTCTCTTCATTTTATTGTGGCTGTTGCTCAAAAAAACTGGACAATAAGTGTGTTTTTTAAAATAGACAATTTATTTTTTTAATACAAACACGATAAAATAAAGAGACTCTGATCATTGGATCGATCTAATTTTTTTTTTTCATATAGATAATATATACGCAAGACATTACAAAATAAAATCAAATTTTAGGCTAGAAAGAAGCAAGCTCCTTACTTATTACCTCCAAAACTCTAACACAAATTAATGAGTCCTACAATTTAAATCAATAACTATTAATTTCAAAAACCACACCAGAGTATTGAATAATTTCGCATTGTCTATATTTTTTTTTTTGAAAAAATAATTTCATATTTTCTGTTGCGAGAAAGTTTCTACTTGTTAGTTGTATCAATGGCCCAATAATTTTTAGGGTTTCAAGCCCAAGGTCTTTAGATGATTGGGCTCTTTAACAACAACAAAAATATTTTAATTTTTTATGGGCTAAAAAATGGCCAAACAGGCCTAAAAAATTAAGCCTGTTCTGTGACAGTAGTAAAAATTAAGCATGTGATCTCTCATTGCATGATAAATTTGAATTTGACAATTACATGACAACAATTTAGAAATAAAAAAGAAAACAACAATGTTAGGAATTCAGAATATTTACATAAAACGAGTATTCAATGGCTAAGATGCATTTCAAAAATAGATCCCATTATACAAAATTCAATATACACATATATAATTTACTGGACTGTTTTTTCTGGATTGGTAGCTTTTTGAAAAGCAAATGTAATAAAAAAATTTAATAGTGTTCTCACCAACTGAGTTGTACACATTATATACTTCAAAGTAGTTGAGTGGTATTTGGTTAGAAGAAACATGTGCAACACTTATTTGCGTACGAATTATAACCCATAGTCCTCGTTGTCTCTTAATCCAAATGCTTGGCGTGCTCGCAATAATCACATAATAAGATTATGAGATAAGTTATATTGACTTTGGTTTTAAAAAAATATAAAAAATAATTCTACTTATATGTATCGATCGGTGATTTAATTATCCATAAATAAACATTTGTGTATTAATATGTGTATTTGAATAACTATGTCCATGATATATAATAGGGGTTAGATTGCCCTTAGTCTTGATTTAAATTGAAGGGTACTGTCTGGCTATGAAACCCACTACGAGCCCTGTTTCAATTTATTATGTTTATTATCAAAAAAATACATTATTTATTTTTAAATACTCTTGTCTTTTATTTTTTTTTAGATACATTGTGATAAATTAAATAAATTATTACTATCAGATTGACTTAACCTTTTGTGTGAATAATATACATGAAGGATATTATAAAATAAACAGTTCAAATTATCGAAACATGACTCGTCATAGAGCTTTTAGGTCCAAACAACACCATGTACTCCTGCAGCCCAGATCATAAATTGGACTATATAATATAGGAACAATATTAAAACTTCACAATTTGCTTCTAACTTGAGGCAAACCATGTTAGGAATGGGCCCTAGCATGGGACAAATTTTAAAAAATAAATAAATAAAATAACAAAGACTACTCGACATGTAAATTATAAACAGATGAATAAACAATTTAATAATTGTTGGAAAGTTGATTAAGAATAGGGAAATTATTTAAAAATATATATTTGTTGTCCAATAATTAAGTATGTGTTGGTTTGGTTTTTGGGTCGTGGCACGCTGATAAGCATGGTCCTTGGTCCTTAGTCCTTAGTCCTTACCCATTAAGATTGATATAATCTATGAATGAAATGATTAATCTTTTTTATTATTATTATATAGTAAAATACACCATTAATATATAATATATTTATTGTATTAGGTTGGTTAATAAATTTAAAACATCTCCAACCCACCCTCTATATTTTCATATTTAAAAGATTTTTCCTTCCAATCAATCCTCTAAAACTGTCTTCATTTAGGAGGATAAGTGGTTACTCTAATTGAGACGATGAAAATGCATTTTTTTATTCAAAAATTGAATATAAAATCTTTTACTATTGATTGAAACTCCAATAACAAATCTTCATTTTCTTCTCTAAATTTTTTCTTCCAAAATTACATAATTCATTTTCCCTCCATCAATTTTCTTACCTATTCTTCTATAAAATAAAATATAATAAAAGCAGAACCCGTCAAAGAGTGTGAAGCATAAATAGTGGTGATAAATTTGGAGTTAATAAATTATGTAATTTTTTATTGATTAATAATTTTTTAATTTTTTGTTAAATATATTTAATATTAGACTCCTTTTTAGAAGTATGATTTTAATCTTTTAACAATATCAAATTTATTAAAATTAAATGTATACATTAAAATATTTTATTTTATAATATATTATAAAAAAAATACAAATGGATATGTTTGGTATATAAAGTCGAAAGGTAAGAATCTTGAGGACAAAGTTGGTATTTAAAAAAATGAATAGTGTTATGAAGTTCTTCTTTCATTTTTCGTACTCCTTCCCGATATGGAGGATCAACACCTCCTCCTCCCAAATGGAGATGGTTTTAGAAAATGGATTAGATGTCAAAAATCTTCAAATATGACGACATAGAGGGTGGGTTGGAGATGCTCTTATCCTCCAAATATTCTCCATAAGAGCATCCACATTAGGCTGACTATTATCATTTTAGGGAAAAAAAATTGCTTACCAAGGTGCAAAATCACTTCTCCATCAGTCTCGCCACACAAAAAATAAATTTGGCATTGCTACAGTAAATCGCTATATGTAGCGATACATTGTTCACAAGTTATACAATATTTTATTATTTATTCTTAAGAATGACCAGACATCCTACCGGTCATTCGAAGGATGACTGACTGCTACACCTTTTCTTTTCTTATTTTAGAATATAAAATACAATATTCTAT